AGCACCTGTACTTACTGTACATTTCCAGTGCCTCTTTTCTTATGGGACTCACGGATATCTTAATCAGCTGGAACAAATAGACAGTGCCCTCCACAGTTCTGACTTTGCAATCAGGACAGCAAAGCCAAAACATTTATTTGTGCTCCACAGTTAAGAAACTTGTAGTTGTGATCGCACGACTAATGTCAATGAAATAAATACAGTAAAATACATACATTTTAGTTTTAGAGTATTGCATGCATACATTATTTTTGATCATATTAGATAAAAATCTACTTTGTGTTGCAATCAGTGATTTAAAGAGAGAACAAGTAATGTTTTGAGTACATTTCAGAGTGGTAAAAGTCAGTATTTGGATGCAGATCCCTTTGAGCCAATAACTACATGTGTTCTGTGCCTAGTAATCTCAAGAAACCTTTTGTGTAATCATTTGAGAGCCTTTGCTGTAAACACTTTGAGTTCTTGCCTGTTCTTGGGGTGTTCTGACTTTATTTTTTTCTTGTTCTTGAGGACACACAGCATATCCTCAATTCGATAGAAATCTGAAACTTGATTTGGCTACTGTAGGACTTTTCTCGGACTTCTCCTGATGAACTACTTGGTTACATTGGCTGTACTGTATGTTTTGGGTCATTGTCATGATGCATGGTGAAGCTCTGCCCAATTAGTCTGAAAGCACTTTCTTCCACATAAGCAGACAAAATGTTTCTGTAAACTTCAGAATTCATTCTGCTGCTTCTACCTTCATTAGCTACCTAATCAATAAAGATGAATGAGCCAGTTCCAGAGGTGGCCATGCATGTGCAGGTCATGGCATTACCTCCATACCAGCTGCTGTGCTTTAGAGCATCTGCACTTGTTATCTTTCTCCACAATTTAACCTTTCCATCACTTTCAAAAAGGGTGATCTCAGTCTCATTTGTCCATAGAACTTTGTTCCAAACCTACTCTGGCTCATCTCGTACAGTTCTTCCAAGCACATTCTGAAGCACAACAAGTAATTAACTTAAAGTGAAAGTGTCCCAACACTTCTGAACAGATTAAATTCCAGGGTTGAAAAATATATGCTTTCATTCTAATATGAACATGCATCAAATGTATGCTTGTAATATCCAACAATAAAACATGCTGCACACATCATTCATATTAATCCTCTGATCACAAATGTATTTTTTTTTTTAACTTGGCTGACACAATACCTTTGGAGGACACTGTATACTGTAACATCCTGGGGAGGTCTGGAGAACCAACCTGAACGAAAAAGAACTACAAGTCCCATAAACCCTCAAGTCTCTAGAAGAAAGAGAACCATCAAAACAATCTGTCACACCAGGGAAACACCTAAATACTGTAAGGGGAGAGTAGATAACAGCCTGGGTCATTTCACTGACTAACAAGGTGCTGTGGAGCAGGAATCGCCAGGAATTGATGAGCATTTTTTGGCTGGCTGGGCAATGCTGGGGACTCAATGACCGGACGGACACGAAAGCTCAAGAGAAAAAATCAATCGATTAATTAAAATGATTCCGAAAACATTAAATCGATATTCAAAATCGATATACTTATTCTTCAATTTTACTTTTATTCTTCAAGAAAACACATCCCTGCATAGCGTGATGCAAAAATGGAATCCCTCCGGGATCCTGACTGAGCTTGAGCAAGTTTGCAAGGAAGAATGTGTGAAAAAAGCAGCATCTCAGTTTGAAAAGTTGGTAGAGACTTATCCACAATGACTTGGAGGTGTAATGATCACCAAAGGTAATTATAATCAAGTATTGACTCAGGGAGGTGAATATTTATGCAATCAACATAATTTAGTTCTGTCCAGTTTTTGTTGACATTTAATCTCTTTCCCCCATACATTTTTAATCAACATTTGAAACAGTGGTAGAAATCATTGGTAATTCAATACAATGGAAGAACACTGAAAGGGGTTGAATAGTTCTGCAAGGCACTGTACAGTATGTGTGCTTTTCCAGATCTTAAACCCGTCGTTATAAATCAATCCTCAATCTTTAGATACTTACATAATCTTTACCCAACATGTTCATAAAAATAATTTCAGGTTCAAATAAGTGGTTCCGCCATGTTGACAGCTTGAATAAAAAGGTAATGAAAAAACAGAATATTACAGTGTTTGAGCTTCACTGTACTGATGTTTCCCTTTTGCTCACTTGCTCATTTGCTGCTTGAAAACAAATGTCGTTGTGAAGGAAAAGCTTTGAGATGCATCTTGAAAACACAGAAGTGCTTTGATGCCTACAGGTTCACTGCACTAAAGCATGGGTCTAAAGAAGGACAACTTCTGTCCTTGTCTTACTGTGTGTGCACAGCAGTGTCTCTAACCCTTAACCCTTACCCTGGTTGCCACCACATCACTTTGCAGAAAAGCATGTATAGGTATGCAGGGGTTGGAGATGTTTTATGATCTAACCCCTCAGTGATACAGTTCCTTGGTTAACAGCAGGCCAGGGAACGGATGAGATCAGAGGAAGCCTAGCTAGCACTAGCCTATACCACAAGAATCACAGGGAGGTCAGCTGGAGGTCACACAGGAAGGCCTTGTGTGTCTGGTGGCAGTTACTAATGTAGAGGTGACAAAACCAAAACACCTCCAACATTGTGTAGTCACAATGTACATTTTATTAGTCTATTCCTTTCTTTTCACTTATATACTGTATTTTATTTATAATACCGCGTGATATGCTCCAAAGCTGGCATGAAAATCCAATTATATATAACTTAGTCATAAGTTATGGAGTTGCATCCCAAGGGGAATTTAATAAGTAAAAGACATAAAGGTTTTCAAATACGCCGGAATCAGGGAAACATTTTCTATTTTAGGTTAGCACCCGTGTTTTAATGAAAGAAAGAGCATAAAATCAGGTTTCACGGACACCGAGTTCCAAAAAAATGTATGTCTTTCGTAGGAAGTATTAACAAGTAATACTTTTTGATGTGATGCTTGAGTTCCTGCACCTGAATGTCTACTTCAGCGACATCATTAAACGACTGTCAAGACGATAATAGCTAGACTCAGTCAGCTACCTCAGTGAAAGTTGTCTGGGCTCCTGCAGTTTTATTACAGCAGCTCAATCCCATTCACTGCCTGGGCTGACTGCTGTTTGACTGGGAAATGGGCTAGTTGCGGCCTGCTCTTGTGGGTTTACAAACACTGTAATCCTTGCATAACGGCATGGCCTTCAGCAGACAGACAGCAGATGGTGAGAGCCTGTTTTATATAACACCGAGAAAAATCACTTATATTTAGGAAAGAATTATTTATATGCCTAAGCCGGGACAGGGCATGTGAAGGGTGATGTTCTTCTGTTCAATGGCTAAAGATAAGATAATCATTCCATTATTTGTGCCACCATTCACAAACAAGCCTTAATAAATACTTGCATAGTACTGAAAATATCCAGAAGCAGAAGTATCTGTAAATGTTTTACACATATGGGAAACATATTCTGAACTAAAAGATTTGAATAACAAGCTATACGGAAGCACATTTTTGTGATATTTTAATTTCCATGAGTGATGGTAGTTCCTATGTGGGTTTAAATTTGTGTGTACCTTTTCCAGTCACTATTTACAATATACTTCTACAGTTGTCCGGTTTGTGCGTATTCAACTGATTAAAATTAAATAGTAAAATAGTAGTTAAAATATTAATTCATTAAAGTTAAATATTAAAATATTCACTCAGAAACCCACAATACGCCATCGTTCAGGCAAACTATAAAGAATGATCTTCAATATTTTAAAAACCTTAAACATTGTGCTTTTCAGTTTTGCTTGGAGTTTTAAATTTAAAGGTACTTTTTTCATATTAATAGTAACAGGAACTTAGGTCTCACCCTCCATAAAGAGATTGGGCATATATAGGTCTAAAATCTCTCACAAAACCCACCCACCCACCATGAGTTCCTCGGTTTGCTGTAAATGTGTTTTGTAATCCTTCAGTGACCCATAGCCATGGTAGTCTAACACACACACCTCCCCTGAGGCACACACTGTCTCACAGCCCTGCCGCTTGCACTGAGACACTGCTGTTTAAAGACCAGAGCTGTCAGCTAGCAGACAGACTCCCAGTTCTTTGCTGTATCCATCCAGCCCATTCCCAGCTAATTTCAACTGCCAATGGGGAATCACTGGAATGGTCAGCAAAAACAAAACTGGATTCCAGCCTGGGAACTGGAGGTCAAGGGTCCTATTCTGTATTCCTTAGCTCAGAGGAAATCCCAAGCAAATTTCCCACCTACTGGTTCTCCCCACATTAGACATATCAGCACACTGGCTTGCCCAGGGGACGAGCCACTATTTAGAGACATGTAAGTTTGGACCTAAAGAAGAACTCACATACATGAAAGGAGCTGACACCCTAAGGAAGGACAGAAAGGTCAGCAGGGAGGCACTGACTGGAGGACATCAGCGTAAAAAAAAGGAAAGGCAAACGAAAAGTCCCACATAAAGGAGGGACTTCTTTACACAAAGAGTTGCAGAAGTCTGGCACAAGTTAGTGAGGCGTGTTCTTGAAGCTGATACTTGGGTACTCCGCGAAAAGTAGCCAGCTGAGAATGTGGAACAAGTCACAATCAATGACGTAATACAATCTGAATGGCCTCCTCTCTTCAATGCCCTAGGCAGACTGCTCGACACATTCGTTAGTTTAGTGTGGTGCACAACCGCAGACACCCCCACTCCAGACCTCAAGCATTATCTGCATGGGCAACTTTTTCTTTTCAAAGACAGCATGATTGGTAAGAGTGAGTTAAATGGGCAAAAAATTTGGAAGATTCAGCTCCGCATCTTGATAGCGCGAGCATCTAAGTCTAAAGTACATGAATGGATCATATCGTGATGCAATATTTTGTCAATTACTGTAGGTTCATGGCTAGACACACAAAAACTATTCCTGAATTGACTGTGAACCTGTCCAAATATTTGTGCTTAGTGACTAATTTCTTCTTTTTTTTTACTAGGCCAGAGTAACTCACCATTTTCTGGCTGGTCCTTGATATCAGCTTCACTCGGCTGGCTTGGGCTTTCAGACTGGCCTGAATCTGAATAAGAAACAGAGAAGCAGAAGGTTAAATGTAAGGACCATAAAAATAATAAACACATTATTACACCACATTGAAAATAAAAATGTAAATAATGCAATGCTTTTGGACACTGTGACGATGATTCTGGAAAGCATTTTAAACATTCGAAATCCCTTCCAGCATCAACACATCCTGGGGTTTCTGCCCACAGCCTTGCAGACACCCAATTCACAAGTCACCAGCGAAGAGTAGTGGGTGCTGTAACCCCAGATCGATGCCAGGTTTCACTGTCTGCTTTGGAAGCAGACAGTATGTCTCATCCCAGAGACTACAATACTTAGAGCTGTGAGAAAGAGGGGAACAGGGGTGCTGGTTAGAAAGAATAAACTCCATTTAATTAGTCAAGTAGCCCCACTGGCCAGATCTTTAAACACACATCCATAAAGCTGTCTCATAGAAAAATAGCATACTTAAGCATATTAAAACCCAGCAGAATTCTCCAGCTGTTATTTATACAGAAAACACCTACGTTCCACCCAGCCACTCCATCAAAAGTAGCACCCTTTCACAGAATAGAAAAACAATTCAATTTAACATTTATATTTTCATCTGAAGTAAGCAAACTAAGGAGTCTCTTCTTCAATCTTCTGCTTGTTTACAGAATTCTGTAGTGAGGAATTCTAGCGGAGAACAGCCATTAAGCAAAGTATAAGAGCTGACACAGAGCACCAATCTGCAGAATGCCTGTAACCCGAACACTGAAATTCTGCTCCGCACGTCCATATGAAAATAAGAGGTAAAAAGTGACAAAACCATTGAAGACAACTGTACAGAGGAAGTGGCCAACACTCTTCCAGTTCATTGACAGTGAGCCTAGTGGGTTTAGCTGCTGGGATCAACCGGACCGGTTGTCATAGCAAACCTTGGAGCACGTGGACTGAAGGCCCAGCACTGGTAGTGTGAAACCCAGAGGATGAATTACTCAGGCTTGTTTTGCAGACCTGAGAGAATGCCCCTGGCCTGATCAGACATCCTGATCTCCAGAGCTAGCGGAGAGAAAATGGTTCAAAGGATGTGGCCATGTGGAGAGGAGGTCTACTGTACATTTACAAGCTGTCCCTGTTTCATGCCTCAGATGTGACCCAGAGGACCTCACAGAAGGGAACAGGACAGACACAGACAGACAGGGCTCTCTAAAAAATGCTAGAGAATCCTAGGTACTTTCTGACTTGCTTCTGCTTCTCACTCTTTTAAGGCAAATCCATATGTTTTTCTCAGGCCCTCGGAAAACTGAAGATGAACTTTGGGAAACTACAGAAAAAAACGTCACCAGAACAGAAAAGGCACAATTAGTTCAAACTCTTTATGTGCTTATTCTGTGAGAAGGCCTTCAAATATCCGAATATCACTTTAAAAAAAACTAACATCAAGAAAGTCTGGTGTGACTTCAGTCAACCTAAGACACAAACACACACAAAAATAACTTCACATGTGTGCCACAGGTGTTTCTCCTTAGTTTACCAGAAGAATTTGATAAGATTTTCATGTGATGGAAAAAAAGGATCCTGGAGTCAAAAGTGCTTATTCACAAATTTGTTCTACAAACCGTTTCAAAGTATCTTTCATATAAAGTAGCCTATTTAAATGAAGCAAAGCAAAAAAAATAGTCCCATAAAAAACTTTTTTTACAATGATGCATCTGAAAGGCTCTGAGTTGTATGAAAATCAAAGTTCAACTTAAATTAATAGATACAGTATACTGTTGTAGAATTAATACTGAGACTGACTCTTCATCTATCCATTTTCATCCTACTTGTACCAGTGAGGAATGCTGAGCCAATCTAAAATCACAAACTAGCCCTAGACAGGTGATTTTCATATCGGTAAAGCAAAAAAAACTATAGCAAACAGAAAGCCACCGTTAAATACTGATTTTGTAGAGCCCACTCATAGTTTTAGTTCATGACACAGCCTCATTCAGATTCTTTTTAGGCGATACTTACAAATGGAGCCCTATGAAAGAGTTCAGAGGTACTAGAACTATTCAGTGCAAGGCAATAAGTCTGGCTTCAGACTAATATCGTATAAGACCTATAATGCCATACCTTTTGATATTCTTGTACAGAGAAATGAAACAAGAGAAAGATTTTAAAAGCATTAACTTGAATTACTGCAGCTATCAGCAGCATACAGAGGTCAGTGCAATGTGAACAGGTCATGATCCTGAAGTGTGACTGAAACTTGAGATTTGTGGTACTTCCCAGGGCAAGATGAGTCATATCGCTGCTTCTACCTGACAGCAGGCAGGTCACACAAGGTTCATCAAAGGCAGCTCTGCACCGCACTGTTGGTCACTGTTAAGCCACCATTCACTTCCATTTTGAATGTGAGCAATTGAAACTGCTAAATAAGGTTAACAGGCCTGCTAAGCACAGGTCTAATGGCCTGCATACTTCATCTCAAAACCAGTTGTTTTTCCCCCCAAGACAACCAGAGTTCATCTGCAGTTTACCTGGTAATTTCTAGTTTATCGATGCTCACAGATTCAGGTAAACGTAGAAAACTTTTCAAAGTGATAGAACAAAACTCTATCTCTTGTCACAAAGAAAGCTATTAGAAGTTATCAAAGGTGCTCTACATTTTAGAGGTATCTATAATACGCTAGGAATTAATGAGTAGCCAACTATCATCCACTTGAGGTAATGCAGAAAATGACATTAAAGTGTGAAGTGACATTAAAATTGACGATTTTTTCTGGTTTATAGCCTCCTCTCACAGGTGGCACTTGGGTAGTGGACAAAATCTAAAACGTCCTTCTCCACCCGTTGTTTGGCCATGTGCAAAGCAAAAACCCACTCGCAACAAATCAGAGCAACAGCAGAACAGAAACAGAAACTTCCCTGTGTCAGAAATCAGAACATTGAGAACCGCTTTTGGGGCGATGGCGAAAGGGGAGCTCCAAAACCAAGACACCGCAATTAGAAGAAGAAGAAAAAAACAACACCGCGCAACCAACTTGAAGCATCCAAAACAAAACAAAAACGTTCCGCTTTGCCTCCCAGACAAAGTAAACAATCTAGAACTTGTTTGCATTCTCCTCAGAGATGCCGTCTGCATCAACAGCTTAAAACAAAAGGAAATCTGGCGCCCCAGTGAACAAAACGCCAGTGTCCCCAGCAACAGAGCGAAATTTGGGGGTGGCGGTGGCGAGGGGGGAGGGAGGGCACTTTCACACACACTCTGACAGTCCCCTCAATGAAGTACCGTGGTCCACAATGGCCCCCAGTCCCTCCGCTAATTAAATATGCAAATAAAGCCTGAGAGCGGAGCACTGGGCGCCACACCTGCGCTGCCCCCTGTGGAGAGCTCTCAGGAGCCGGCTTAAAAAACAACAACAACAACAACAAAACGGGCAGCACAAACAGGCCCTTTCACAAGCATTCGCCCCTTCTGAAAGGAGCCAGACTCCCCCACCACGCACAGAATATATCTCTAATTTAGCCCTTCCCTTAGAGAAGAGAGCCATGGCAAGGAGAGAGAGGACGAATGAGTGAAAAGGCCGGCTGCCCGCGGCACATGGGAGCCGCGCCATCGCCTGCGTTCCTTCTCTCCTGCGAAGGCCGTCGCCTGCCCTCGCTTCGTGGCCTCCTAGCTGGGAACCGGCGGGAGAGCGCGGCCACAAACGGGGCTCCGAGCCAGTCTAGAAATCACGGGATGCTAGACAAGAATGTGCGGCTGTCATAGAGAAAGGCGCAAGACCCACATCCATCAACCCCGTTTGACAGCTATTAATTAGAGAGTCTGTAAATCAAGTCTCGTTTCTGTTATACGTCCCATTCAGGATACGTGATGAGGAAAGACTGGGAGATGATAGGCTAATAAGCATCAAATAATACACAGGCTGGCTAAAAGGGAAAATGTTCGTGAGTGAATCAAAATCTGTTAAAAAAGGTGGAACCCAAGGAGATCAGCACAAAATGTATATAAAAAAGCGTTCTGAATAAACCATCTACATTTGATTTCCACTTCTGACCTACTGAGTTTTGATATCCATCCTAGACTTGTGTGGGTTTACCTCATGCCACATATTGTACTGTAAGTAGTTTGTTGTAGTATTGTGTGTCAATATCCTGGAATTCAAACCTTTGCCTAGATCTGTTTGCTTCTTGAAACAGAAAGAATTGTAAGCCAGAAAAGGGCAGTGGTTGCTTGGTTGCCAAATGTCTTAACATTTTCTTTTTTCAGCTAACAGTGAATCTCTGTGGCGAGATGCAAAAGGCTGTAGTTTCATTACACTAACAGCAGAAAGCAAAGAGGCTTGACTTTTGAAACATTAAGGCACCCCACCAATGAAAGGAACCTCAAGAACAAATGTATACATGTATAAAAAGCGCACACAAAAGCTTAACTGGTCGTGCTAATGTATTTACTGCTCCCTTTCTCCTTCTGTGCACTATGGAATGTTAGTAGCTGCAGTAACTCCAGCACAAAGCGTCCTTTCTCCCTCAGAATTAATAGATGAAGTCTGTCCTCACCCAGGGTCCCCTGTACTGACAGTATTGGAATGGCCAAACTCGTAGCACAGCGCACAGCTCCTGACTAAAGGCAGGCTTTCATTATTCCTCAGAAAGAAGCTGTTACTATGCAGAGATGCTGATGTCGTCCTATTTGAAATAAAAAAAGCACATTCATTTTTTAATCGATTCTAGCCATGTGCTAGAAACTGTCTAGAAAATAGCCTAGACAATTGTGTCTTAAAAACTTCCCAGGAAAAGGTGTAAAGGGGCACCTGATTTTCTGTGAGCAGTACTAACACAATCAATTAAATAACTAGTTTTTTTTTCTCCCAAATCAATACTCAATATAGCATAGATCACGATCCTTCTGTTAGAGAAAATTAAGCCAGTGGAACTTTAAAAGCAAGTGTCTTCAGCTGCTGTTGTACTTATTTTAAAGAAATCATACATTCAAGATGTTCTTACCATCAGTTTGATGGTACTACCGCACGAGACAATGCT